ATCATCCTGACCTGAATGCCTTTGATGAACAAGATCACTTCAGCTAGATAAATTTTGGGCTGTTTCTTCTAATTGTTGGATGACTCCCATTGTAGTAGAAGATTCCAGCAAGTTCCACATGAGTAATGTCATTTATCCCTCTGGGAAGCATCTTCAAGTAACTAAGGATAGTCTCAGTTTTTTTATTTTTAAAGATTTTATTTATTTATTCGACAGAGAGAGACACAGTGCAAGAGAGGGAACACAAAGGGCAAATGGGAGAGGGAGAAGCAGGCTTCCCACCGAGAAGGGAGCCCGATGCGGCACTCGATCCCAGGACCCTGGGATCATGACCTGAGCCGAAGGCAGATGCTTAATGACTGAGTCACCCAGGCGCCCCACGATAGTCTCAGTTTTAAGAGATCTTCTCTTTGGTCGGAGAGTTACATGATCTGCTGGTGGTGTTTGTTTAAACACTTATAGGTCTCTTGTGACAATTGCGAAGGTGCAACTCCCTGTGTTTTGGGGAGGGAAGTAAGTTAGTGCTTGGCCTTCACTTCAAGAAATACACTCTTGGGGATGCACGTGGTGTCCCTGGAAAGACCAGAGTTGTTGATAATTGCTGGGAAGTATCAACTCAGGTGAGTATGCATCAGTGTGGGATAGGGGGTATAGATTGACAGTGCCTCCAATGGGGCCTCTTGGCTAGTTGGTAAACCTTAGGGATAGTTGAAGCTAGTGTCTGCCTTTGGAAAGACTACCTGAGGGTAGTCAGTCCAACCTGTCCTGTTCGTCTATGTCACTAGCTCATGGGAGGACTGAGAATGGGAGTGAAGAAAATATTCAGAAGTGTTGACTGGTGTTGTCAGGGAATGTATAGGAGCTGGAGTCACCCCTTGTTTCCCATAGACTTTATAGTAAAGTTAAGGGGAGCGGCTATTAAACTGTGGTCAGAGCTGTCTGACAGGGAATGACACACCCACTGTGTCATCTAAGATGCTTGCAACAGTTTGGGAGGGAGAGATGCATCACGGCATTTTCCTTGGGGAGAAAGCTCCCAGGGGCAGTCCTGAAAGACACTGTATGATTAATGTTCCCCTGCACTCCTCCCTATGTCCCAGGGTTTATGGTGTCCTTCCTTAGGTTTGTTGCTGTCCCTTTGCTCTACAAAATCAGTGTGTCCCTTCCAGCAGCTATAATCTCACCTCTTTCCTAATCACACCCTCTTCACTCCCACATCTTTTGTCTAGAGGGTTAGGTGCAAGAAGGACAAACACATCTTAATAAAACTTACAGAGAGATCCCTCATGTCCTCCAGTTGGGCCTGCATGGGAGGCTCATTGAGCAATGTACTCAACCAAGTGCTCATTATCCTTATGATCTAGGACCATATCAATCCAACAAGAGAAGGCAGGCGGCTGAACCAGAATGAAATTTGAATCCTCTAGGCCCTCTTTTGGCCAGCCTGCACCTGGAAGGTGTACCAACCTGGATGGCCTAGTGTTGCCATTAGGGGAAAGAATGAAACATCGTGCCCAAGAATGGCCAGGGCAGACTTCTGAATTTTCAAAATACTTCCATATCCCCTTCCACCCCTTCCATCCAGAACACGACCCAGGAATTGGCCAAGAGGCTATTCTCCCTTTCTGGAGAGAGCTGCATTTTTGCTCAGTGACCAAACTGCTTTACTAGGTTGACTGGGAAGAGGTGAGGGAGATAAAGTCAAAAATATTTTTTTAGTTAAGCTTTTTACTTTATGATAATTGTAGATGCACACACAGTTGTAAGAAATACAGAGAAATTTCACATACCATTTGCAGTTTTCCTCAATGGTAACATTTTGCAAAATGATAGCACAATATGACATGGATACAGTCAGGTTACAGAACATACTGCAGGATCCCTCAGGTTGCCTTTTAATAGCCATGCTCATTTCCCTTCCCACCCCCACCTCCCAATCATGAAGTTTAACCCCTAGCAATCATGAAGCTGTTCCCCCTTTCTATAATTTTGTCATTGCAAAGGATGTTATAGAAATAAAGTCACAACATATATGTGAAAAAACCTAGTCTTTTACATTAAGTGTAATGTTAGCCATAGGTTTTTTGTGGGACAAATTGTGGACATTCCCCTCTATTTCTCTTTTTCTGAACATTTTTATGGTACTGAATTTTGTGACATGTTTGTTCTGTATTGACTGATAGTCTGTGTGATTTTTCTTCTTTAGGCTGTTAATATTATGGATTACCCTGATTAAATATTAAACAAGGCTTCCATCCTTGGGAAAAAGCCCACTTGATCATGGTGTACAATTAGTTATTTTTATATATTGTTGCATTCTATTTGCTAATATTTTGTTAAGGATTTTTGTAACTATGTTTATGAGGGAAATTTGTCTGTAGTTTCCCAAGTCTGGGCCAATGAGACAAAAAGAAAACCCAAGGAACTCGCCATCATGTCATTCCTTGGGTCCCTAGATTATTAGCTTGTCTACCTTCTTCTTGCAACATTTCACAGTCTTCCTATGCTTATATATACAAGCATACCTTGGAGATATTTCTGGTCCAGTTCCAGAGCACTGCAATAAAGTGAATATTGCAATGAAGTGAGTCAAACGAATTTTTTGGTTTCCCAGTGCACATAAAAGTTATATTTACACTATACTATAATCTATTAAGTGTGCAATAACATTACGTCTAAAAAATGATGTACATACCTTAATTAAAAAGTTCTTTGTTGCTAAAAAATGCTATCATCTGAGCTTTCAGCAAGTCATAATCACTGATCGCAGATCACCATAACAAATATAATAATAACAAAAAAGTTTGAAATATTGTGAGAATTACCAAAATGTGACATGGAGACATAGAGTGAGCAAATGCTGTTTGAAAAAAATGGTACCACTAGACTTGTTCCACACAGGGTTGCCACAACTTCAATTGGAAAAAAATACAATATCTGAGAAGCACAACAAAGCAAAGCACAATAAAACAGAGTATTCCTGATATTAAGTCAGGAATTTTAGTTGTACTAGCAGGGGAAATAGGGAAAATTATGTCTACTCCATTTTCTTACAAGTAGAATTCCCCAGGAATCTTTTTTTTTTTAGTAGATTTTTGAGGAAACTGTTCCAGTGGTTAATAATATCAGATGCTTGTCAGTGGCAATGAGTGTGGAAGGTTGATCATATATATCTTGACCATCAGCCCACTGTTGAGTAGCTTTTTAGATAAAAGGTGCACCAATGTCAGATTATAAATGCTCCAGAAAGCCAAACTCATGATTAATTACATTGGCCACCTCTCCTTTGTGGGCTTCCATGACTCCCAGAGGGATTGAATATTGATAATCTACTCACGTATTTTTTTTACTTGGTGAACAGGATCCTAAATTTTTGGATGATTTGTGGAGGTGTGATTACATTGTAATCAGGGCTACCTTGACTAAGGAGTCTGATTAGCCCACTGTGTCAGACAGACTCTAAGGTGGCCCCCCCATGATCTTCACCTCCTGGCTTTTAGGAACTGCAGAGCTAGACTCTAGGAAGTAAGGGCAGCTGCTAGCTGACATCCAGAAAGAAACTGGGAACTCAGGCCTATAACTGCAAAGATATGAATGCTGCTAACAGCCTAAGGGAGCTCAGAAGCAGATTCTTTTCCAGTTGAACCTTCAGATGAGAATGCAGCCTGTCGGACATTTTGATTGCAGCCTTGTGGGACTCTAAGCAGAAGATCCAATTAAAAACATGCCTGGACTCCTGACCCTTAGAAACAATAATAGTGTGGTGTTTCAGGCTACTAAATTTGTGGTAATCCGTTATGTAGCAATAGGTAACAAATACAACCATGAGGACATCATCTGTGTAGTGAAAGCTTTGGACATCAGAAGGTAAAGGCATGCACTCAATAAATTCTGACCCATCCCCTCCTGGCAAATGGCAGGTAAGATCATGATGGTAAGTACCCATGATGAGGTACCACAAACGTAATTTGGAGATCTTGGTAGCATGCCAGAATAGGCTTCTCTTCATCTTGGTAGCCTTCATCTGAAAATGGAGATAATTATAGTATCGACTTCATAAGATGGTTGTAAGAATTATATGATAATGTGGGTAAAATGGTTTATTTAGTACAAGGCCTGGAATATTTCATGGTGTGTGGCCCAAATGAATGTTGCTCATGGCATCTTTATATTTTAGCGAAGTCACACTTCTATCACATCCTTACATTATAATTGCAATCGATTGGCAGACCACTCCTCCCCACCCCAGCTAATCAACCAACCAGTCAACCCTTCAATGATTTCCCCAGGATCAAAGTCTCGTTTGGTACAGTTCTGTCTAAATTCTCACAGAATAAAGCAGTATTTCCCATTTTTCTACAACTACCAACACCCGTCAAAAAACTCCAAGCCCACCAAGTCTTCCAAAGCACTCCTGTAACCAACACTGGGCTTCTCCGCAGAAACAGCCACCTTCCCGGTTAATAATGACTTCAATAAAGGATTCATTAATTCCCCACCCCCAGCAAAAGAATACTGTCCGCAAGAAACAGGACCTTGATTTTTATTATTTGCTCCATAGAGAAAGCGGCAAGAATGAAGTCCTCAGGCGTGGCCTGAACGCCTTTTGGGGGCGTGGGCATCCCGGGGCCCCAGTCTCTTCCACTCGGAAATGCAAGGGCTTTAAGCCAACTCTGGCGTGTCTTAATTTCATCCCAAGAACAGACTGCAATCATCGTGTTTAAACAAACCAACCCAACGGCCTAAAAGCATGAGCATAAGGGGAGCCAGGGCAAGGGTAAATCCTGGGTACGCAGGACCCCCACTCGATCCCGGGGCCCTCCTGGGCCCGCTGCCGCTGCTGAGTGCCACATCAGCGCCCGCGCTGCACTTCCAGGTTCCTCTCGAGGATGGAGCGAGCTAGCCCGGCGGGCGGGGGCGGTCTGAAACCCTCGAGAGTGGCGGGCTGGCTGGCCAATAGGAGGCAAGCGAGGAGTCGCGGCCACCAATGAACTGGAGCTCCGGGTAGTAGGCCCGCCGAGGTTCGTGCCCCGCGGGGGAACCAGATGAAGCACATCTGGACAGCTGCGCCGAGAAACTGTGCGGCCCCTTAGCGGGCCCGACGTCAGCTGGGCACGTCTCCCACGTTCTCTCCTGCTAGCCACTTATTATTATTCATATTCCCAAAGAAGAAACCGAGGATCCAAGCTTAAAAACCCCCCCCCCCCCCCCCCGCTAATTGAGACGGAGCCAGATCCCATCCAGCACACAGTTTAATTTTCATGGGGCTCTGGGATCAAAAGAACAGACACAGCAACAACAAAAGCCCAGTCGCTGTCTGATTTAAAACTGGCAAAGTGAGAAAAATAGTGTTGAGTAAACAGACCAAGTTGGGTAAGTTTTGGAGACGTGCTGGATATCTTATTTCTCCCGCTGTGATCTCTCTCCTGCGTCTTTTTGCTGTTCTCATTATCTGCTCTTCATCAGAGAGATAAAAATATCGCTTGCTGCCACAAACTGCAGAGACCCCCGGCTTCCTTTCCTTCTGCTTTGCTAACAATTTAATTTTTTGGTTACGTGTGTGTTATTTTAAAATTTCCTGGGAACAGAAATTTAACTGGTATCCTGTTGTAAGCCTCTCCAAACCTAAGAGTTGAATCTACTGATGAATTTATTTTCCTATTTTTTTTCTGTGGGAACAGAGTATACATTTGTAAAGGTGAAATCTTTATCCATTCCCCCCTTCCCTGACTGTTCGGATAGAATATTGAGAAAGTTATCAGACTTATTCTAAATTAATAGAACTTCTGCTTCTGTTAATAGGATGTTTAATATTAACTTACATTCTGAATTCTATAGGTAACTGCTGTTTCACTTAACATGTATTCACATGTTTGTAACCCGAATATATCTTCTCTATGTTCTCCTGTCCATAGTGGGAGATCAAATTCCTTTATAATTGTTAAAAAGCTCATTAAATATGTGACAGACAATTGTATGCTTCGATAACCTTATAATTGTATGTTAATCCCATAATTCTATCAAAAGAATATTTAGAGTGATAGTAGATGTGTGTACTTGCAGATAATTGTGTCACATATTTCAGGACTTAGAAAGGGAAATGATGGCAAATATTGAGCTAGGTGAATGGCCTGAGGCCCATTCCATTCAAAGTATCTATAATTTTGTTTAAGCAATGTTTTGGGTTTGAGACTTTGTCATATACTATTTACTGTCATGGCAGATCTGGCCAGAATTGATGTGTAATTTCTGGCTCAGAAAGGAATAGGTGGGGATTTGGTGCCATAATTGCAAGTTGCAGAGTGTTTTTGAATCAGAACGGTAGTGCAAACAGTGGATGGAACAGTTGAAGTGGTTTTCAGGGATGCAGGGTTAGAAGAACAGTGCTTCAGAGAAACAATAGAAAGAGCCCGTGGGCTCCTTCAACTCACAAGCCCACTCTTTGAACCTTGGGTCAGTTACTCAGACCATCTGTGCCTCGGTTTCCTCTTCTGTAATGTGGAGATATTAACAGTACCTACCTCATGGGTTGTCTTGAGGACTAAGTGAGTTAACATAGGTTAAACAATAGTTCTGGCACATAGTACGTCTTTGCTGTTGTACTGACTCTTCATTTCCTCCCTTCTCAGCTTCCTCCCCTGCATGTCAGTTTCCCAGCCACCATTCTGACCTCTGAATAGCAACTAGCATTTACTGAATGCTGACCTCTTGTTAATGACGCACTATATAAGTTTGTAAAGGAGAGAGAGTCTTGAGAGGAGAGTAGAGTTTATCAGGTGCCAGAGAAAGAGCTAAAAGGTTCTGGGAGTGCAGAGAATGGAAAGAGGACTTCTTGTTGTAGGATGGATTCATAGAAGGGTTGGTTTTCTGGGAAAGGACTTTGCCGAACAGGTCGGGTTGAGAGGAAAGAGATCATGGAACAGCGGGTGGCAGGGGAAAGGGAAAGCATGGGCAAAGCACTGAGGCTGGAAAATGTGGATCTATCCTTGGGGACAATGGGTTGTGATGCAGGATAATCTGTGAGAGGTGCATGGGTGGAAGGGTTGGACAGGTGGGAGAGGTAGGAGAGAGGATGGTATGGAAAGCCTGGTGGGGAAGGGGAGGCTTGGGTCGTAGATGGGTGGGGGATGGTGAGCTGAAATGGCAGCAGTTATATGGTGGAGGTGTTTCTGGAACAATCTCTTTCTGGGGTCCAGGCTCCACCTCTTGCCCAGCATATGCTCCCTGGCTCTCCATCCACTCCACTACTTCTGGGACCTCCCTTCAGGGCCTGCTGGCTGTGTGTATAGGACTGAGCGGTGAGCCTGGGCCATACCTTTTAGACTCCATGGTGTCTGTCTGGGAGCTCTGCTGAAGTGGTCTGGCATTCTGGGCTATTAGCCCTGATACTTTTTAGAAATAGGCCTTCCCCTAAAGCCTTTGACATGGATGTGATTGTTCTAACTCTCCCCTCCTCCCATACACACAGTGTCTGCAGAGTAGCTCTTTCTCCCCATGCTGAGAGAATCATCTCTTCACGTGTTAATACTTATAACTTTGTAGTTCACAGTTATGGAAGTAGATAAGACCTGTAATGTATACATAAGTGGAGAGTCAGGTTGGAGCTCTCCTGCTTTCTCTTCCTTGAGGGCATTGTGCTGGGGCAGACAGAACCTGAGTTCTGGCACTGGCACTGCTGCTGACCACCTGTGTGACCGTGGGCAAGACAGGGAGCCATTATGCCCTTCTTTGTGCTGTCATCTGTAAAATTATCTCTAAGTTTCCTTGGATGATCTTTTTTTCTTCTCTCCTCATCTCTGGGACAGTCTGTTGCTTGAAGATGGCTTTTTGAGACATCTATGGCTAACATTTCCTGACCACTTAATACATGGCAAACATTATTCTGAGGGTTTAGCATATTTTAGCTCATGTAATCCTCTTACCAACCCTAGGGTTGGTACCTATTGCCGGAGGAGACAGAGACACAGGCATATTAAGAGACTGGCCCAAGGTCACACAGTGAACAAATGGCAGATGCACACCCAGTCTAACTCTAGAGCCCAAGCCTTAACCACTAGGCTACACTCTACTCCTGCTTGTCATGATGATAGTCAAGAAGTCCATGGGAGTAGGATCATTGGAGGGGGAGGGCCCATTTGAAGAATTGAGATGGTAAAATTTTCCTGGAGGGTCCAGAATATCGACATGAATCATGTCTATGGCATGTGCTGTGTGTGGAGGCAGAAGACATTTTATGTGTTTATTAGATGCGGCTCATTGCAGGCAAGCACTCTGTCATTTCATCTTGTTTGAACAAAACCCACCATAATACCTGGATATATAGTAGACATTCAGTAAATATTAGCTGAATGATTATCCTTTTTGAACAACTGAAAGTGTTTAAGAGTTAGAAGCAATGGTTTCCCCTTTATTTACCTGCTTTCTTCTCATTCTACTACTCTCCCCAGAGGGAGCCTTTGTTACTGGTTGGGTCTATATCCTTTCAGTCCTTCTGTAAGGATCTACTCACAGGTAAAGATCTAAATATGTGAAAATATAAATGGGACCACAATTTTTTTAATTGAAATATAATTCACACACAGTATTACATTAGTTTCAGTTGTAAAATAATTCAACAATTCTATACATTACTCAGGGCTAATCACAGTCAGTGTACTCTCAGTTCTCTTCGTCTCTTTCACCCCTCCCCCATTCACGTCCCTTCAGGCAACCACCAATTTGTTTTCTGTATTTAAGAGTCTATTCTTTGTTGAAGATTATTTAACCATAGAGTTGAGGGTCCGTATCTGGGCTCTTTATTCTGTTCCATTGATCTGTGTGTCTGTTTTTGTGCCAGTACCATGCTGTCTTGGTGATCACTGCTTTGGAATATAGCTTGAAATCGGGCAACGTGATGCCCCCGGCTTTGTTCTTCTTTTTCAACATTTCCTTGGCTATCCAGGGTCTTTTCTGATTCCATACAAATTTTAGGATTGTTTGTTCCAGCACTTTGAAAAATGTCATTGGAATTTTTATCAGGATGGCGTTGAAGGTATAGATTGCTCTGGGCAGCACAATGTTTATTATTCTGATCCATGAGCATGGAATGTTTTTTCATCTTTTTGTGTCTTCTTCAATTTCTTTCATGAGTGGTCTGTAGTTCCTAGAGTACAGATCCTTTACCTCTTTGGTTAGGTTTATTCCGAGGTATCTTATGGTTTTTGGTGCTATTGTAAATGGAATCGATTCTCTAATTTCTCTTTTTACAGTTGCATTGTTAGTGTATAAGAAAGCAACTGATTTCTGTGCATTGATTTTGTATCCTGCCACATTACTTATTGCTGTATGAGTTCTAGTAATTTGGGGGTGGAGTCTTTTGGATTTTCCACATAAAGTATCATGTCATCCACAAAGAGAGAGAGTTTGACTTCTTCTTTGCCAATTTGAATACCTTTTATTTCTTTTTGTTGTCTGATTGCTGTTGCTAGGATTTCTAGTACTATGTTGAACAATAGTGGCGACAGTGGGCATCCTTGTCGTGTTCCTGATCTTAAGGGAAAGGCTCTCATCTTTTCCCCATTAAGGATGATATTCAACAAAGCAGGAAAAAATACACAATGGAAAAAAGACAGTCTCTTCAGTAAATGGTGCTGGGAAAATTGGGCAGCTGTATACAGAAGAATAAAACTTGACCATACACAAAGATAAACTCAAAATGGATGAAAAACCTCAGTGTGAGACAGGAATCCATCAAAATCCTAGAGCAGTACATAGGCAATAAACTCTTTGACATCGGCCACAGCAACTTCTTTCAAGATACATCTCCAAAGGCAAGTGAAACAAAAGCGAAAATGAACTTTTGGGACTTCATTAAGATAAAAAGCTTCTGCACAGCAAAGGACACAGTCAACAAAACAAAGAGGCAGCCCACAGAATGGGAGAAGATATTTGCAAATGACACTATAGACAAAGGGCTGATATCCAAGATGTATAAAGAACTTCTCAAACTCAACATCCAAAAAATAAATAATCAAGTCGAAAAATGGGCAGAAGACATGAACAGACACTTCTTAAAAGAAGACATACAAATGGCTAATAGACACATGAAAAAATGTTCATCATCATTAGCCATCAGAGAAATTCAAGTCAAAATCACGTTGAGATACCACCTTAGACCAGTTAGAATGGCAAAAATTGACAAGGCAAGAGACAACAAATGTTGGAGAGGTTGTGGAGAAAGGGAAACCCTTTTACCCTGTTGGTGGGAATGCAAGTTGGTACAGCCAGTTTGGAAAACAGTGTGGAGGTTCCTCAAAAAATTAAAAATAGAGCTACCCTATGTCCCAGCAATTGCACTACTGGGTATTTACCCCAAAGACACAGATGTAGTGAAA